CTAATTTTCTCCATGGCCTAATGCTAAGTGCTCTCCGTGCTCTCCAATTTTTCTCCATTTTTAAGTGCTCAACACTCTACAAATTTTAAAGATTTTATTCTTTTTATAAATATGAACAAAGTCCAAATAAACATAAACTGCTCTGCGGGATATTAGATTCACCGATATATTGCTCCTGATAAATTCCGCTCTGTTTTCTTCATCACCGAATTCATCATGTACTACCCGTCCTACATATTTTTATTGCAGGACTATCGTGTAGGTGGTCACACCACCTGGCTTTTGGATTTCTTCGCCGATCAACTGGTCAGACCACTAGGTTCATGACTTCGTCACCGACCAGTTGGTTGGATTGTTCTGCGTTCACATCTATTCGACGTCATTTCGCCGCCGACTAGATGGTTGGGCTGCTCGGTGCTTGATTCTTCACCAACCAACCGGTCAGATTGTCCGTCGCTTCATCGTCAGTGACGATGGGGGCTCGCCTGCCACGCTGGGGACTCCTCGGTGTTTGGATTCTTTGTGCAAGCATCACTAGCTAAGCTGAGGACTCAGCATTCAGGTTCTTCGTGCAAGAGTCACCGGCTAAGCTAGGGACTCCCTTGGCATTTGGATCTCGATACATCTCATTGGTGTGCTATCAAGTTGCTCCATGTTATTCGGATCAGGGTGCTGATCCTGGGCAGCACGTCTGGGTCTTGATACGCACATGTCAGATGATGTCGGCAAGCTTTTAGACTTATTTTCTTTGACCCTGCTACAAGATTCATTCTTCATCTTCCAGTAGGATCGGGGACTAAGTGGCTACACTTCATCTGACGGTGAATGTAGTGCTTATTTCCTGATTTACCCTCCTTATTGACTAAGTCACGGATGATAATCATCTGACCTTGCAAACGGAGTCTAATTGACTACACTTCATCTGAGGTGAATAATTTTTAAAATTAATCTTGAGCCCCTTATATCCTTTTGGCAAGCTTTACTTGGCTAAGTCCGAGGTCTCCTAACTAGTTAGATTGGTCGGCTTCGACTTGCACCACTTGGATCACCAGTTAAACTGGTTGGCACTTTATTTTGTTGATTGGATTACCAGTTAAACTGGTCGGATTACCATATTTACTGTCTGACTACAAGATAAACTGCTTGGACTTGCTCAAGACGACGATGCTCAGCGGATACAAGGCGCTCGGGGACCAGCTATGGGGGATATAACCCCAGGTACCAATGGCAGTAGACATGGGCCACACCACCAGGAGAGGTCCAGCCCATAGGAGACGACGTGTGACGCAAGACACCGATCGACATGCACCACACAGTTTCAGATATGATAGATATCGTATTTCTTGTAAATACTTACCATATAGCCGAATAGATCTAGATCTAACCGACTTGTAACCCTGCCCCCAAACTATATAAGGCGGGCAGGGACCCCCTCGAAATTAGATCATATTCAATACAATCCAACAAAGACACATGACGTAGGGTATTACGTCGATCAGACGGCTCGAACCTATCTAAACCGTTGTCTCTACGCCTTATGTCACCATCCGGTTCCTATTACGCGCACCTCCACCGATCATCTACTACCATGGGTATACCCCTCGGTAGACTACCGACCAAATTTCGTCGACAGAGCCTCATTGGTAGATCGAGCACTAAGAGGAACATATTGGTCCCAACTTTCCAAAGCATCATAGTCACTTACACTTATTTCAACATCACCTCCTTATGACTTATGATATACAACATTGTTATTCAGTTTGAGATATTCTTTGAACAACCCTTGGAAAACATTTTTATTTTATTGATCATCGATGTAGCATCATCCCTAGATTCGTTAGGCCAAATCAAAGTTCGATGTACTTGGACTTGAATTTGGGGGGTCTCACTACTACAGAAAGTTCATCACCGCTAGTTCCAAACCCCCCTTCCCCGATGGTTTTGGCCACCGTTGGTGAAAGTCGTTGGTGATAGTAAGAACAAACCGTCAGTGAAACTTCTGATCACTGCCGGCTCGGCGGACAATGCAGTGGTCCGAACTGTTGTGATTTCCACCACCGGATCATAAAATGAATCGATGGTGGTAGAGATTTCCACCACGGCTCTAATGGGTTGTGCGTCCTTCCATTTTCAAACCAGCGGCGAAGCTTCTTTTCTGCGCTGGTTTTGTTGTGCGTCGCGCATTGGATGACTAACTGGCGACGCTAAATGTTTACTAGCACCGCCGGTTCGGCGTATGATGCGGCATCGAAGACCAATAGTGCATTCACCACCAGACCATACGCCAGGCCGGCGGTGAAAACGTTTATCACCACTGGTGGGTCACCTAGAAGGGACCCCTCAAGCTATGAACCGACGGTGATAAGTATCACTGCCGTATGTCACATAACCGGTAGTGTGATTTAACTTTCCGTAGTAGTACGTGTCTAAAATCATAGGAATTCAAAGATCCATCCATGATACCTTCTTGTATTTGGCAATTTTTTTCTTCATGCATTTGAGCATAGAGTGTGTCTTAGGTTCCTCTTCAAAAGGTTGTTGCTCCAAGGTCAACTTCATTTTCAACATTGCATGAAGGTATAAGTTAGCAATAGGGTACTTTGTGCCTGATATCACATTAGCGGCTTCATGGAAAACCTTCAGCAATATGCAAACACCATTACCATTATCCTATTCCTCAAATGATGGTCTAAACATATAATATGGGTCTTGAATGGACAATGAGTTGAATACTACATGTAACTCTTCAAAGTCTCATTTGGGATTTTGATAATTAAAGATAAATTTTGTGGACTAATGATTTTCATGTGAGATGAATGATTAATTTTTGTCCACAGGATGAATCTGAGCTACATGTGGGAAGGAGAGATTGCATGACCATGAGACACCAAAGCTCAACAAGTTGAAAGTGAAAATAGGAAGCAATGGATGATAGAAGTGGAGAAGATGAAAGACAAGTTCAAGTAAAGGTATAACATAGGGTTTTGTCTTCTCATCAGTCATGAGGTCATTAGAGAAGTGAAAATGGTTGGGTTGATAGCATAGATAGCTCTACTATAAAGAGGGACAAATCTATAGTTGCTACTGCAGTTATCTAATGCCATTTGAGTGATCTAAGATCAAGTGAAAAACCTTTAGCACTTGATCCCAGTGGTGCACTGAAGAGTACACCGGAGTTTAACAACTAGTTCTGAGTGTAGTTGTAAGCTACTATTGGAAAGATCCGATGGTGCACCAGAGCTCTCCAGTGTGGCCAAAAAAGTTACAGCAATTGTGCGACAACTAGTTTGTGTGGGGGGCTATAAATAGAGGCTTGGCCAAGCTTGGCCACCCTCTTGGACCCCTTGTTGATATCCACGCACACTAGAGATCAAGTTAAGCCGCCACTCTCATTTGCTTGTAAGTGATCACATCTTTCGAGAGATTGGAGTGATCTTAGTGCATTTGTTTTGAGAAATTGCATTGAGTGGCACTTGAGATCGTATTGGCTATAGGTTTGCTTGTTACTCTTGGTGGTTGTCGCCACCTAGATGGCTTGGTGCAGCGAGACTTCATTGAAGCACTCAATTGAAGACTGTGATGTGCTCTGAAGGTGATTTCTGAGAGGCTCTCATCCTCACCGGAGTAAGCAAAGAGCAACTTTAGTCGAATAGAGGTGTTGAGAATGTCTTGTGATCAAACCAGCTTAGAGATCAGTGGAGGAGGCAACCTTGCGATGTTGAGTCTTGATAAAGAAGCGTCGATCCTTGGACTCACCTCAATCTGGACATAGGTAACGGGTAAGTTATCGAACCACATGGATATATATATATATGTTTGTGCCTTGTCTTTTGTAGTATCCAATTTGATCACTCTACTCTTGTGCATTACTTTATGTTTTTCAATTCATAGAGTAGAACTATTCGGACTTGTCATCCTAGGAAACAAACTGAGCTACTAGTTTACTCAATTGTAGTGACATTGCCTAGATTACATACTTGAACTAGTATTGTGGGTTGCTCTCACCCTAGGCTTGCAAAACTTTAGCTAGTGGTAGTTTTATTAGGGCCTCCGTTGCACCTAAATCTTTTGCCTAGTGTTTGTGAGTTTGTAGAATTTTAAATTAGGGTATTTATCACCTCTAGCCACCCAATGATCCTTTGAACTCTTATGTTGTACTAAGCATCAGGTAAATGGAGTTCCAACGAGTGCTGCTATAAAGACTTGGACTTTTCTCACATGATATGCTTAGCCATGAATCATGGAGAGCTTTGTATATATATATTTCACGGTGACACGTATCTAGCTGACCATTAGGCCAAGAAACAACACTATTGCTTGACATATCAGATTTATGACATGATGAGCAGCACAACGTTGGCGAAAGAACCTGCTACTCAAAAGTAGCTTCTTCTTAGTCAACAAATGGCCAAATGGGTCTCCAACAATTTCATCATTGCACCATTGTTGTTTGCATTATTAAGAGTCATGAAAAATAGTTTATCTTCAATCTTCCATTCCCTTATGCACTTGATCATGGTGTTGAACATTGCAATACTTGTGCGGAGGAGGTGCCATAGTCACAGGAAGCACGATGGCGATGCCATTCTTGGAGTCCACCAATGAGCGACACAACAACAGCAGCAAGACAACGAAGACAGAGTTGAAAAGAACTCACCTTCACGGATGGGAGGATCTGAAGCTGAAGGCGCCTACCGTCGTCTCTCGCATCCTGTTCGGCGGGAGGGTTTTCTCCTATACGGTAGGGTCATGAGAATGGCACGTACAACAGTAGGTTTTTAATTACCTAATTCATCAGCCATATCTAGAAACAACAAAAAGAACATGCCAAGAAAGTAAGTAAAAGCTAAACATCCTTCAGAACCTAAGCATCTGGCGAGGATTAAGTCAGAGTCTTTTTTTTGTCCAATTACTATGTGACATAATACATGTACATCGTCAAGATCGAGGACAGCATCAAGAACCACGACTCTCATCTGACATTTTTAGTACATACAGTACTAATCAAGCATCAATTCAGAAGAACCGCAAAACATGCTGAGACTGCGAGCAGAGATAGCAAGTACAGGACCGCCACGGCCGGGAGAGGCAGGCCGGCCTGTCACCCAGAACGTCATGGTCACCGTGAGCGCCATAGCGAACGACCACAGCGCCACCTCCGCGACGGTCGCCAGCCCGCCCTTGGAGCCACCGGCGTCGTCGTCGTCGCCGCCCCTCTCGCAGGCCGCCACGCACGACATGACGAAGAAGATGCACAGCCACTCGGCCGCGAGGAGCACCAGCGTCCTGACGTCGTGGACCAGCAGGTGCACGGAGAAGAGGAGGCCGACCACGAGCACCACCAGCGAAAGCGCGCGCAAGGGCGTGGCGAGCGAGCGGCTGCCAGCAGCCGGCTTCCTCCTAGACGATTTGCGGAGTGGCGGCCGCGGAGACGGTGGTGGTGAATGTGGCAGCGGCTGCTCCTCCAAGTCGACGTCTTCCATGTTTTCCGGGCCTTCCATCGTGCACTCACCACACGGGCTTGTTGCTATTATGTCTTCACAACAAGGGCATAGGTATTATATATATACTTGGACTTCGATCACAATGTTTTGTCGTCGTCGTTGGTACCTTTCGTCATCAGTGGTGATCAGAGCCAATTATTTGGATGGCTAGCTATCGTTTGAGGTTGGAAACTTGGATAAGCTCTCCAAAAAACTATATATGGTGAGTGTGTGTGAGTATAAGGCGTCAAATAAGTAGACGTCAATACCAACGCTCAGTTGAGTGTTTCGACTAGCTGATGTGGATATCAACTGAAGCAGTTTGTGCCCATGACGGACTAAACGATGAAATATTGAAATGTACTTGCAGCTTGTCCCTACAAATGGAGTCACAAAGAGAAAGAGCAACAGAATGTGCAATATACGCACACCATAGTTAACTAATATAATATATATAATATGGCATGGAAAGCGACTTGCTCTGATGTCATGTATGGAGAGAATATAATGTTCACACTGCATGCAGGTATCTCCGGCTAGCACAAAAACATTCCATTTGTGCTGTTCCGTTTGACCAAGTTTTATTTAGCATGACAAGTCCTTTCCGTGGTGATCAAGAGATGACAATTGTTTGGATGGCTATCGTTTGAGGTTGGGTAAGCTCTCCAAGAAACTATGGTGAGTGTGTGTGAGAATATATAAGGCGTCAAAATAAGTAGACGTGAATACCAACGCTGGGTTGAGTGTTTCGACTAGCTGATGTGTGGATATCCGACTGAAGCAATCTCTGCACATGACGGACTAAACAATGAAGTACTTCTAGTTTGTCCTACAAATGTAGTGAAAAAAACAACACAAAGTGCAATATACGCACACCATAGTTAATTCATATACTCACTCTATATATAATATGGCATGGAAAGCGACTTGCTCAGATGTCCTGTGCATGGAGAGAATAATGTTCAGTGCATGGAGGTATCTCCGGACTCCGCTAGTCAGAAGAAACTGTATTTGTGTCCTCGCAAAAAAAAAACTCTATTTGTGTTCGTCTCTTGAGTTATTGTATATAATTTTTTTTTCGAAAACATAACTTCACGTGCTTTTCATTAAGGAGAGTTATTCTATATACTCGGTTTCATTTGACCAAGTTTAGCATGACGAGTCTTTTTTTTAGACTCTCGGTCTAGGCGATTCTAGGAGGGGATGGAGGTCACCTCTCACAATATATCAGTGTTCGATAGCATGAAGCTACAACTTCTGCTACAGTGATATGTGGAGAGAAAACATATCTGTTGCCTGCTGCTACCGATGCTACAATGTGTATAGAGAGAGAGAGAGAAAGCCACAGCTGCTTTTGTTGCAGCCAAACACTATCTATCTTTGGGAGCGTTAATGCAGTAGTTGTTGTTTTAGCTACAGCGAACGCTATCATATCTTTGGAAGCAAATTATGCCAATCACATTTCTTTTCCTTTGGGAGAGCTAATGAAAACCGTATCGCAAAGTCTATTTAGCGACCTGTCGCGCTCCGTGACTATCGCGCGACCCTCTACGATGGGCCGGCCCAGTAGTTCCTCTCCCCTACACGGCTACACCCCGCGCACCCAGCTGCTTCTTCGTTTTGTTCGGGCAGAAAGCGTCGCGACTCCGCAGAGCGCGTGCGCCGCCTGCCTCCGCGCATCGTGCTCGCCACCGAGCGCCCACCGCAGTGCCGGAGCTGCTCCAGCCGCGCGTCCGCTGCCGGCTAGCACGCTCGTCCACGGCTGCGCCCCCCAACCCGAGCAAGCTTCGGCCGTGGCCGCGCCATGGCCGGCCGCGACCCGCGAGGGCCATGGCCATCCGCCACGCGCGGCCGCGCCAGAGGGCGGCGCGTTTCCCGAGCCGCCGGCGGGCACCTCGGCGACGGATCCTACCTTGGACGGCTTCTTGGCGGGCGCGGACGACACCGACGTCGAGGGCTTGACGCCGAACAGGTCGTTGGGCAGCAGCACGCTGTCGACGGAGTAGACGGCGAGCGGCTGGCGACGAGGCCCGTGGACACGTTCACCTGGCTGTTGATGTCGGCGGTGATGTTGAGCGTGTAGGGCCCGTCGGAGCACGACGCCTGCGTGCCCACGGGGTTGCTGGCGGTATCGAGGGAGTCGAAGGAGTAGAACTGCGGCAGGAGGTGGTATAACTTGCTAACGTAACTTGCCACACACATCAGTTTAGCCATTCAGTTTGTAATTTCATGTTCTAATTTCAGTTTGCAATTTGTAGTTTTTGTCATTTTCAGTTTCATTTTCCTTTACTTTCAGTTTCATTTTTTTCATTGTGTATATTTTACTTTTCAGTCTTGTTGATTTTCTAGTTGTTAATTTCAGATTTAGTATCTGATAATTTCTGTTTAGTTTTTTTATTGTGTCTACTTTATTTTTCATTTTCTATTTGTCATTTTCAGTTTTATTTACTTTTCGACAATTTCAGTTTTAGTATCCGGTAATTTCAGTTTTTGTTTTATTTCTGTTTTTTTTCATTTCTTCATTTAGCTTCAGTTTTATGTGTTTTTAATGTTTTTTTTATTTTTAGTTTTCAGTATTTTTCAGTTTTTTAGTTTCTTTTTTTAAGTCAAGTTTTTGTTAATTTTTTTAAGTTTCAGATTTCAATAACACTTTTATGTTTGAATGTCTTCTTAAATCCTGCATATTAGTTGCCTCACCTAAAATATATAAGTTGTTACAAAAGATAGCCATTACACATAAGTTGCCACAAAAGAATTTGCCCCCGTTTTAGTTTTCAGTCATGTTTTTTTTTCATTTTTTAGTTTCAGTATTCAGTCTTGTTTTTTTAATGTTTTTTAGCTTCAGTTCTCGGTCACCTTTTTATGTTCGAATTCATTTCTAAATCCTAGGTATTAGTTGTATAATAACTTATCCTCTAAATTGACACATTATGCAATGTTTCTTCTAATAATTTGCCCCTCAAGGTATATCTTGTCTTATTAAGGGTTGCTACTCTTGTTCTTTTTAATAAATGTCCCTCCAATTTTTAGCTAGTCATGTTTCCCGACTTATATAGTGGGTTTTATAATAATTTGCCCTTCTAATTGGCAACTTATGCAATACTTGTTCTAATAATTTACCACTAGGTTGTAGCTTATCTTGTTTTGTATAGCTACCCTTATTTTTTAATAAATGACCCCAGTTGGTAGCAAGTTATGTTTTCTAGTTTTTTGTAATTTGTTGTATTATAACTTGCCCCTAATTGACAGCTTATGCAATGTTTATTTTAATAATTTAGCCCTCCAGGTTGCAGCTTGTTTTGTTTTGATCTGTTATTCTCTTTAGGGTTAGTATCTTTATGTAAATACTATATAACAAATTTATTATATTCCTATGGTAACAATCAATATACATACCATGTAAAAACTTTTTAGTTTGTTAATTTCATTTTTAGTTTTTTTATTTTTTTAGTTTCAGATTTCGGTCATCCTTTTATGTTTGAATGTTTTCCTAAATCATGCATATAAGTTGCCTCACCTACAATGTATAAGTTGTTACAATAGGGTAGCCAATGCACACATAAGTTGACACAAAAGAATTTGCCCCCAATTTTAGTTTTCAGTTTGTCGTAGCTATTTCAGTTTTTAAGTTTCCTTTCAAGTTCAAATGCCTCCTAAATCCTGCATATTAACTGTTCTTCAATATTTACTGCTTTTAAATATTTCATTTTTTGTTCCAATGTTATTTTAGTTTCAATTTAATGATTTATGAGTTCCGTTATTTCATGCTCCCATTGAGGTTCGAATGTCTTCCAAAATTCTATATTAGTTGTATAATAACTTATCCCTGAGTTGGCAGCTTATGCAATGCTTCTTCTAATAATTTACCTCTTAGAGGTGCAACTTGTCTTATTTTGGACCGCACTCTTGTCTTTTTATTAAATGTCCCTCTAATTGTCTGTTTCCTGGCTCATATAGTGGGTTATATAATAACTTGTTGTAACACCCTCGGTGTTACACTACAAGTTTTCTACTAATAACACTTCATGAGCATCGTGATTATGTGTTAGTGCATGTGAGAATGAGCAAAGATAAATTTCTTGGCATGAAAAATGATTAACACAAATGATACATAAAGAGAATTCAATAGGCATGTAATATCACTTAAGGTTGGAAACCAATTTTTATTAAGCAAAAGTGCTATAAAACATATATGTGACACCTTAATAAAGTTTAAAGTACACGTTTTGTAGAAGATAGTGCAACTTTTGTTTTAACAAGATAGTAACGCTAGATAACATTTCTAATAGCTTGGAAATCAAATTTGAAGCAAATCCAACTCAAGACTTAGTCAATTTCTTAAGTCTGAAAACAGATTGACAAAGCTATCCTTGGTAATTTTTGTAGAGAAATTGGGTTATGGAGTGGTGTTGTATTATGGCTTGTTTTAGTAACCGAATATACCCTCTAAGGTATAGCAAAGGTGGTTTGGGAATTGGATCAACGGTTTAGGTTTCTCGAGCACTTTAAAATCCGTGCTTGGTGTGTTCTCGGGCTGTTTTCCCGATTAAGCGCAATCACCAGCACCGGGGGCACGACGCCGCCGCGTCGGGCGTTCAGTGCGCGGGCCGGTCGGCCTGGCTACGCGGTGCTGCTGCCACGCAGGCCCGGTGTCCTAGCTGTCGTTGCCACGCGTTGCTGCTACTCGCACAACCGAGTGCCGTGGCCACCTACCCCACACGCTGCTCCCACCGTCTGCTGTCGTTGCCACGCATTGCTCCTGCTCACGCAACCGAGCGTCGCGGCCACCTACCCCACACGCTGCTCCCACCACACGTCATGACACTGCCGCTATCGTCGCATCACGGTCTCGCTCTCGCCTGTCGCTGCACCACGCTACGCCACTGGTCCACCTGGGCGCTGTGCGTGTGGGGCCAGACCGCCATCGCCATGTCATTTATGGCACTGCGGTGCGTGGGTGAAAGGACCTAGGATGCCGCCTAGAGAGGGGTGAATAGGCGTTTCTAAAAATTAACATC